CGTGTTGGCGGGAGGGGCGGAACGTTGGTTCCGCTTTCGTGTTTCCAGCCGGACATACTAGAGAGAACGAACTAGAGTGCAATGTAGTTTCACGGTTTTTATGCCGCGTATTATTATTAATAATAAAACTATTATTAAGTGAAGGGAGAAGCGGTCGGGACCTTAGTATGGATCCGGCCCACAGAGCCCTGCTCCAGAAACACAGAGTGGCTCTTGCCACTGAGCTCCTGGTATCTGACCACATAGTTCCTTACCTGTACCAGGAGCAGATCCTTACGGATTCTCAGGTGGAGGACATTGAGTCCCAGTCCACGAATAAACGGAAGGTCTTCAGACTCCTGGACCTGCTCCCGAACCGCGGCCCCCTGGCCTTCAGCTGCTTCCTGCGGTCTCTGGACGACTTCAGCTGGGTCAGAGAACGTCTGCTCCAGGAACTAGAGACCGAACCTGGACCACCTGGACCTGCATTGACGGGTAAGACCAAGACCCCGGAAGTGGCCCCGATCAGGACGCGCTGTGTGGGGAATAGAGTGCTTTCCGGTTGTTGTTGTTGTTTGTATTCACCAAAGGAAAGGTTATCATAGCAGTCCCGTATATTGAAAAATACAATAATACAATACACAAAACACTGAGGTACATAGTAAATATAAATATAAATGTGGAACATACATACATACCAACTAATAGTATCAGCAAGAGTATATAATAACAATACAACCTACCCATTCTGAAAAAACACTAGCTAAAGGTTAGCTTAAAGGACTTCAAAGTTAGCCCCACCAGTATTGGTTATTTTAGTGTTTGTGTTTTAAAAGGTGAGGTTAGAAGATTCTTGACCTCAGGTGTGTCCTGTCTCAGTCTACTGTCCCCAGACTGTCCCTCACTTTTCAAACAAAACAACATTCTGAGGTTACCAGGGGTTGAAAATCAAGTTGTGGGTCACATCGACTGTCCAGAGCTCAATGATAGTATTTTTATCTGTGGTGTTTTTGTTGACATTCGTGTCCAATGAGATGACAGGAAACCTGGCACTCCCTCAGGGGGACAATCAGTTTGGTCTCTCTGATACTAAGAACTTATGTCATATGACGTCAGTGTCAAAGAACACAATCCAAACGGTCAGAAAAACACCATCCAGGCCTGTATTGGTGTATATATGTACGGTTTAAAAACAAGTTCCTCAACAGATTAATTATTTAATTAAAAAGAAACTTCCTGAAATCATTAAATCTGTTTCACCTGTCTTCATGTTTCCTCAGGTGTCCCCAGCCTTCCTGATGTCATCCTCCAAAAGGTTCCTTCTGATCGAGAGTTGTCCCGAGTGGCGGCTCGGCTCGGCTCTTCGTGGGAGTTGGTTCTGTTAGACTTGGGTTTGTCCTCTGAAGACCTGTTCCGCTGTCAATCTGATTATGTCCACAACTCTCAGGGAGCGGCGTTGGACGGCCTGATCCAGTGGAGACGACGTGGAGGAAAGAAAGCCACATTTAAGCGGCTGCTGGAGTCCTTGCAGGCAGCCGATGTGCACCCATCTGTCCTGCAGGATGCACTGACGTGACGAAGGCACAGGGGCCTTTATTTAGAAAAAAATAAAACTGACTTTATTGTCATCTTGTTTATACAATGAAATGATAAATATTTATTTTACATCAGAACTTTTTATATTTGTACTTATTAGTATTTTTTATTTTTTTTGCATTCTTTGGTCACATTTACTAGTTGTTATTTTACTTTACCTTTTAGCTAACAGTGAGCCAAAAGTGAGCTAAGCAATCATTCTCGCCTTACTTACATTTAGCTTTGTCTAACAAACATTTTCTTTACGTTTTCTATTCTTATGCCATGGTTTTAGCTACCGTAAATGTTTTATTATACATTACATATATTTTACTTTTAGTTCTCACAAAGATAACGCAAAAAGATCTGCTTTTTCATTGAAAATTTTAGTGCATGTGCTATTTAGGTATTCATTAGCTAAGTTAGCTTAATGTAGCTAAGTGGGTTTTTTATTAATGTATTTCTGAGGCTAACTTTCTGACACTACTTACCGCTTTATTTTTATTTTTTTATGTTACTCTTCTGTGTTTACGATAACAACAAAGGAAACATTTTACTTTAACAACTGAAACAGTAAATCACTGAAGGCATGTTTAAACAGTTGACTGTGGTGTAGTGACTGAGGGAAGCAGGTCAAAGATTCAACTCTGCTACCACATCACTGTGTCCTTCATAAACACAGAGTCACGTCACCACAATGTGCTTCTTTGTGTGTTACTCGGTGTGTGTGTGTGTGTTTGCGTTTCTCTCATGCTGGTCTTGTGCGTTTCTTAGAAAAGACGGAGTTTTATCCTCACTATTTTCAGGAAACAGGAAGTAGTTCGGTGCAGCTGGTGTAGAGACACACAGAGACACAAACAGACTGTGTTCTGTAGACACGGAGACCGTGTCCCAGAGACACAAACAGACTGTGTTCTGTATCATTTCTCATACTGTCCTTGACCCTTTTTGTTTTAATATAAATGTATCTGTGTTCTGGTTTGGATAATGCGAATTTATTCTTCTAATGTCTGAATTTAGTGTGATTAGTTTTTGACGTAACTCAACTACAGCAACTCTCACGAGTCAATATAGGTATCACAGATCAGAAGTGGATGTGTATTTATAGCTTTCCCCTGCAGGGGGTGCTCTACTCGGTCACTGGCCAGACTGTAGGTAGCAGCTGTGAACACTAGAACGTGGCGTAAACTGTGATGAAGAATTGATTGTTTTTTAAGTGAGTTCAGTGTGGGCCGGAGAGCAGTCTAACAGTGACAGAGGTGTGTGTGTGTGTGTGTGTCTGTGTGTTATTATGAGGCCCATTTGGATCTTTAAGTTTCTACACCAGTAAAATTAATTTAGCAACTGGACGACCTCTGCGTGCTTTTAGCTATTTTGGCTAAAACTGGGCTAACACTTTGTTGTAAATTACATTTATTTTGCTCCGAGATCCAGTGAAAGGAAAGCTACTGTTGTAAATTACATTCATTTTGCTCCGAGATCCAGTGAAAGGAAAACGTCTAAATCTTGTTTAAAACTATTGTCAAAACCAGGGGTGTCAACCATATGGCTCGCGGGCCCAAACCGGTCTGCTTGGGGTTTCAATCAGGTCTGTTTGTTTATTTTTGAAAATAAATACAAAAACACTTCATGTTAACGAAATGTTTTGTAAAATTATATTTCACTTAATATGAATATGTATTTAATGTACTTATTTGAATAAAAACAAAGGGGGAAAAGACGGAGTTTTGGTATTTATAGGTAATTATTTTGTGATTGTACTGGTCCGGTTTCTATGCGTCCCCTTAAATAAAAGGAGTTTGACAGACCTGGTCTGAACTACGATGTTGAACACATGCTGGAAAATGCTGATGATGGAGATGAAAATAAGGAGGTAGAGGAGGAGAGCTGATGAGGAGGGGGAGGGTCTGTGTCTGCTCTCCATGCAGCCTCCACAGCTTCAGGGCGGGGCGACACCGTTCGGCAGCGGCAGCAGCAGCAGCTCCATCTCCGATCCGACACCGACCTCCTGCTCGTCCTCAGGCCAGGACATGTAGCCCGCAGTCTGGTCTGTTCCCTCAGAAACACCGCGAAGCTGCGGCGGAGCCACTGGACTCTGACGATCGTGGAGATGAAGATGACGATGATGACGAAGAGGAGCAGTTAGGAACAAAGCGCAAACTGAGCGAGTGAATGTGATGCAGCAGAAAAAGCCTCGCCATTGTTTGGATGCGCAGCAGACTGGTGGGAGGAGGTGGAGGAGGAGCAGGAGGAGGCCGACGATCAGCATGCTGTCCCCGGCTCCGCGGCTGCTGCTCGGCGCGGCACTGCTCTGCTGGGTTCAGGTGAGGAGCTCCGGGAGGGTTCGGGTTCTGTTTCTGGTGCTGAAGTGTGGAGGAGAAAGATGCTGATGCAGGAGAAATGTGGGATTGAAAGCAGAATTACAGGAGGATGAGGAGGAGGAGGATGATTCTTATGATGATGAAGATGTTGATAGACATGATGATGATGATGCTTATGATGATGATGAAGATGATGATGATGATGAGCATCTTCACCACCAGGTTGCTGCAGATCTTGACACACCACATTGTGGCAGTGCAGGATGGTTTGTGTCCTAAGGAAAGTGGGTCAGTGACTCACACACTCTGAAGAAGACGTTTGCGCAGCTATTCTTGTCGGGACCCTGCATTCACCTTCGTGAAAACCCCTCACCAGAACCTCAACATCTAGAACCTTCACCACAGAGATTTCATACCAAACCTTTAACTTAACCTAAAGCCAGGCTCAAACATAAAACCAGAACCAGAACCTCAGAAAAAAAGAGGCTCGCTCTTTTTTTTTACCACCAGATTTATTACCATGTAGATGATGGGGTTTGACAAAATCAATAGTTTTTTTTTTTTTTTTAAGATTTAGAAAATGTTCAAAGAAAAACAAAGCCCCCCCCCCCCCACATGTGGAGGAGGACTCTCTCTCCACTGGGAATCACCTGCAGCTGTGATTCCGAGTCTTCAGAGGTTGAACATCAAATTCAGCCATTTTAACACTGCTGTCACGTCACGTGTGAATTCGAAAATCCTCCGCGTTCATTAGGGCTGACCAGCAGGGATCAAGGTCTGTCACCATGACAACAAGAAAAAGGAAAGAATGGATGGGACGGTGGGTTCCAAAGTAGTTAAAGCCCAGTGGAGGTCACAGAGCGTACCCCCAGACCCTCGTGACCTGAGGCCATGTTCGTGTAAATGTTGACACCTCTGCTTTCTCTTTTCCTTTTCAGCACTAGAACTGTTGATTGAACAGTTCCAGAGAGTTCTAGTTCATTGAATTGGTGTAGATGTGGAAGGGGTGAAAGGGACAGAGACGACCGTAGAACCCAAAGAACCGACCTCTACTGAGAAACACAGGTTTTTAGATTTTAGAACAGGGCTGTCAAACTCATGGTTCAGGGGCCGCATACAACCTAATGAGATGTCGAGCGGGCCAGACCGGTAGAACCATAACACAATTACATATAAATAACAACAAGTCCGCCTTTGTTTTCACGCAAATAAACACATTAGATAAACCTTCATATATATGTGAGCCATGGAGCAGCGAGTGAACAGAGAGGTCGTCCAACCAGAAGGCTGGGGTTAGATTGCTGACGGCGCTCGTGTTTCTTCCAGGGTTTGATCTGATATTTCACTTTTCATTTCCTGTCTGCTCATATTGAACCAGCGGTTGGGTTGTCATATAGCGGAACAAACACGGTGGACAGAGTGTGATGTCGACCGGTCGTTGTGGCTGTGATGATGATATCGTTCACAGATGCTGGAGTCTGAGATTGATCTTTAGACGAACCAATAAATGAATAAATAAATGCTAAAGTGCTCTGAGCTACGAGAGACACCTGCGACGAGAAGAGACCTGCGAGAAGGCAGTTATTAGGGCTGACGGGATGTGAGGGAACCCTGAACAGCTACCTGGTTTCCAACAGCGGAAAGGTGTAAAAACCTTAGCTTATTGCTGCATTAACGTATAAATTAACAACCACAATTACTTTACCTCACAGTAACACCGTTATTATTATTATTATTGTTAATAACAAACCATGTGTTCAGTGGCACTGGCGTCAACCAATAAGAGAATTTAGGGCGGGGCTAAGACTGCTGCAGCTCTCACGTGAACATGAACGTACAGAACTCTTATATACTTTTTTTTTTCTTTTAAATCTTTTCCAAACCAAAGTTATTTGTAACCACTGTGTAGTTTAAGGTCACCACCACCAGAGTACTGTAAGTCTGGACCTTGACTTAGTTACTGCAGTATCAACGATGCAGGCAACAAAAAACTCTTCTAACAACTCAGGAACGGCAAAACTGTAGTACAACTGTAGAGTATCTGCTAATAAAAATATTGATCAGATAACTATATTATAATAATTATCAATATTATTATCAAACATACGGCCTGCGGTTCAATACGGCCCACTTGATGAATGTTGAAAGTGAAAAAAAAACCATTTGATGCTAGTGACATTTTGTCAAATATTTCATTGAAATATACTTGTATGATATGATGTAAGAATCAATTCTTACATCATATCGTCACTACTACATACTACTGAATTATATATATGTTTTATTTTTTGTTAATTTTATTTGCTCATCGTGGATAAAAATGACAAGACAATTATGTAAAACACAAATCATACCAAAAATATGTAATAACTGCGGATGATGGTATTTAGCCATTATTGTGTATCTCAAAGAATATGTCGAGAAAGGCATTCAAGACTTGTTCTCAGTAATATTAATCAGTCTGAACTGACTGATTAATATTGTGGATTGTGACGCACTTTAGTCTCTAAAGTCCGTCACGATCCATTAAACAATTGTGTCTGTCAGCTCATCAGCCGCGGACTTACTTACTGCCCTGCACTTAGTGAGGCCGATGAGGCTGGGTGTTGAGATAGAATTTAAATGGACATTTATACAGTTTATAGAGTGTGTATTATTCTGCCTACGCTTTCAAATTCCATCTGATTAATTTCACAAATTTCGCTTGATAGCCAATTCCAACATGGTACTAATACGTCCATCCAGAGAATCGAATCGAATCATCTCTGAAAGAAACCCAATTAAATTTTACAATGACCCGAACAAGAGACTCCAGATACACGATCATTGTAAATCCACATACAGCTTTTCGCAGTCGATCAAACTTCAAATATCAATCCTCTGGGGAGTTTTTGTACTTGGACACCCCAACAATCTTGTTTTCATCAAATAGTACAAGAGACATTTGCTGCCCAGATCCATATCAAGATGCTAACGTAGAGGTGAAAGTCCTGTAATTACCAATCAAGATGCTAACATTTCCGTAGAGGTGAAAGTCCTGTAATTACCACCATGTGGCCAACATTTGGTAAACGGTTGAGTCGTCGGCAAAAGTGGAGTAACAAATACAATTTTTTATGCCGTTTTATTTTAGAGAACATTCTAGGGACGACCTGTTTGGACTCGTTATGTTTACTGGCAAACAATGAAAGGAAGTGATGTGTCCTACATGGCAGCGATCAGTGGGTGGCGCTTCGCCAGCTCTCCTTTATCAGCACCAGGACTAAGTGTCATGGTTGCCAAACATTGGCCTTAAACGTCTGGCAAAACATGTTTTAAGTCCAGTGCCCTTGTTAGTGCCCAGGCAGTTAGCCGTACATGCTAAAGCTACCAGGTCGTCTGTGTCACAGCGAGCGCCGGTGATTACTGTAACTACAGTCGTCGATAGATTCAGGTGTGACTGTTTTAATGATGAGACTCGGTGGATCGATGCAGATTGGTTTTTAGACGGTATTGATCAGTGTGTGGTTCCTGTCGGAGCCCCACTAGTCTCTTTAAAAGGTCTGTGTGTGGGGGGGGTGTGTTGGAGGGTAAATAAATGGCATTGATGGTAGGAGGCAGGAGGAGATTAGGGGCAGGGAGAGGAGGTGGTGCACACTTTGTGTGGTTTGATTGGATGTCTAAGGAGTCGTGCCTTTTTTTGTTTTCTTTAATTTACACTGTTTTACTTAATTAAAGTTTGTTTTTTTCCCTCCTGTTTGTTGACAGCAGTTGGGACGACAGCTATTGTTTTTTTTAATCAAACCCCAGTCTGTTTCCTCTGTTTACGTCAGGATTTTGATGATGTTGTCTTTCCAATACCAACGATGGATGTTTAATGGGTTTACAGATGAAGTTTTAAACACGCGTAATACAGTGTTGCCTTAGTACAGAGAGTGTCAAACTCAGAATTACATGTAAGTTACAAAGTTAAAAAGTCCGTCTTTACACCTTTGTTTTTATTCAAATAAGTACATTAGATAAATCTTCTAATGTACTTATACATTTAGTGAAATATAATTTTGCAAATCATTTCCTGAACATGAAGTGTTTGTGTACTTTTTCTTATTTTCAAAATTCATCAAGGAGACCTGATTGAAACCCCAAGTGGGCCGGCTTGGGCCCCCGGGCCGTATGTTTGATAATACCAAAGCAGGGGTGCTGTAGTATTTTAACAGGTGGGTGATGTCTCAGCCTGCAGCCTGTGTTGTGGGTTCAACAAGTCTATGTAGAAGTAAAGCTCCATATTCTGGCAGAATTACTTGTGTCTGACCATGGCTTTGGTCAATGTAGAAGCCAATTGATAAGTTGCTTTGGTGAGTTGCCAGTCAGTCTGAAAATTATATTTCAATTCAATTATTAATCCCTTAGTAAAGAATCCCTGTCTGTGTCTAATCCATCTATAAAACACACATATTTCAGAGCAGTAAAACTTGTATTGTACATGAACTGAAGTTCATAATCGCCCGTACAAACACAAGGCTGGATTTCCACGTCAGTCATACTTACTGTTATCCTCCCTAAAGCTTACATTTTGTCGGAGCCATTATTTTCAAAAAGCTGTTGCTCACTGGCTCTGAAGACACATACTGTCCAAAAGAAACTACAGGTCACAGGAGGAGAGGAGGACAAGGGGTGGTGGATTGGTGATTGGAGGCTTGGTGCTGGCATCATTATAGGTCTCAACCAATGAAATCATTTTGGGGCGGGGTTAAAACAGAAACATGGAGACGTGTACCGAAGTTACACGAACACTTTTTTCTTCAAATTCTCTGTAACGACTGTAACGACTGAGAGAAGTTGAACTTTCTTATCGAAGGAGTACTTTGAGCTGAGGTGTTACCTAAATGCAGTACACACTGACGAAGTCAGATACTCAGAAAATGTAATTATGATTTTTGCACCTAGTGAGAATAAAGAAGAATCACTTTGGGCTGTCGTCCACCAGATCAGAATTTCTAGAACTGATGTTTTTATGGGAAGATCAGAAGGTGTTGAATGACGCAGTGGGATTTTCTCAGCCTCGTGCTCATGTGAAGTGACTGCCTTCACTGAGACTGTGGCCGTCGACGTGAACGTGTCGCCCTGACCAAACCTCATAGAGAAACTGTTTGTTTTAACCAGCAGTGGCAGCACAGAGGAGTGATGTTATTATCCTTCCTCAGTGTCAGTCACAGTCTGATGGACTGTGGACGTCCTCACCCCCGCTCCACCCCCGCCAACGTCCCCCGTCCTCCTCCACAGTGGAAACAAAAAGGGCAGTTTTGCATAATAATGTTGGCAGCTGCCTGAGGACGCCGCCTCTTGACCCCGCCCCCCCCTCCACACACACTTATTCACAGGGTCACGTTCTCCATTTGTGCATTCACTCCTGCCTTCATTCATTCATTCATTCATTCGCTCCCTCACTCATTCATCCATTCCTCACCAGCTCTGTATGTGACCGTGTGATTCAGTGTCCGTTAACCTTCAGTCGCAGCTCCGTATCCATGGTAACCGTGGACTCAGACAAACATAATGAGTCGTCTCTGCTTTCATCCCTGTTTCCGTGGAGACAACAGAGCAGCATGGATCCTGTCCTTTAAAAAAAAAAGGCAGAACAGAGGGAGAGAGTAAATGAATGAACAAATATGAATTAATAAATATTCAGAAGAATATTCATTCACTATTCTTAACCAATCAACCTGTCTCTGTATCGTCTGGGTGTCTTTGTTCCACCATAACAATACATCTTTTTTCCACCTGATGTGGTGTTTCAGATTATCTCTGGTTGGGTTTTGAATTTATTATACCAAGGGGTGTCAAACTCGTTTTGGTTCAGGGGCCACATACGGCCCGGACTAGATGTCAAGTGGGCCGGGCCAGTACAATCACAACATAATTACCTATAAATTATAAATATAAACTGAAAGTCCATGTTCCCCCCTCTTGTTTTCCTGCAAGTAAAATAAGTACAGGACATATTCATATTTAATGAAATATAATTTGACAAAAGATCACCAACACGAAGTGTCTCTGCATTTTTTTTTTCACTTTCAAAATATGTTTCTGCATTTTTTTTTCACTTTCAAAATTCATCAAGCGGCCTGGCTTGAACCCCTAGCGGAGGGTTTTCCCAATTGTTTTTTGCCATGTAATAAATCTTAAGAGCCTCGTAGTTTAATGATACGCTCAATTCACTAAAATCTCAGCCTGTTTAGTCAAAGTCAACGCTGATGTACTCGCAGGAATTGAAGAAAGACACTCACAAAGATTGCTCAACAGCTCTGATTCTCTTTTTTTTTAGTTTTCGTAGAGTCTGCTGCCACCTAGCGGCCTAATTAAGTGAAATTGGGTCATTTTCCACGGCACATCTAATGATCTCTCACGGCACAGTGGTTGGGAATCACTGGCCCAGCGGGCCGGTTTTGGCCTGTGGGCCATATGTTGGACACACCTGTATTAAACAAACAACTCATGTCAGGAGGTTTCGTGTAAAGATAATATGCTATTTTTGTTGCCCTAAACAGTGAGAAGCTAGTTTGCTCAGAATATTGTATTCATAATGAATATTTTCTTTGTCTTCCAGACGTCCCTGTCAATCCAGGTGTCTCTGAACGAAGACGGTTTGATCGTGGCAGCTCTGGAGAACAGTGACCTGCGGGACAACGTCACAGCATACGGGGCTCAGCTCTCCGGAGAACCTCGGTTCCTGGTGTACGAGTTCACCAACGGCAGTGAACCGTTGCTCATTAACACATCCTTCCACGGTCTGTGCTACAGTGTGGGACTGGTCCTGAGGCAAGGACTCACGTGGACAAAACCACTGAAATCTGTACCTGTTCTCACAAGTGAGGAATCCTTTGTCAGCAGCTTGTTATTGGAGAACGTGTGTCGTTTATCAATATCTGAAGATAGATGTTTTTCTCACTTAAAATTTGTTGGGTTTTTTTTTTGTCTCTTCAGAGCCACTTCCCGTCACCAGTGCCCAGATCCTAGACTATAAAGAGTCTCCAGAGACGGGAGTCGTGTTTCAAATTGAATCTCCGAGAGGAAACGTCTTCAGCAGAGTCAACATCAGCTTCACTGAAGGACAGGAGAGACGATACATGCTGTATAAAGGTTCGCGTCTGACAAATGAAAATCATTTCATGATCAAAATCACCAAGAATCAGGACTTTATTCCCTGTGTGTTGACAGATTTCTTCCAGGGAAAGACAGTTTTCAAACACTGGTTGCCGGGTGTCTGTTATCAGAACGTCACCTTTCAGCTTATCTCCGAGGCAACGGTGTCACAGACGCCGCTGGTGACGCACAGTGATGTCACCCACTCACCTGCTCATCACAGAATGGGTGAGGAGACAGAAAAGTCAAATTTAGCTCCACAGAAAAATTTGATCATAATTCATATAATAAAAGGAGTGCTGACTCTTTTAGTCCTGTTTTCAGAGTACCATTCAATGTTTCTCACTAACGCAAACTGCTCTTCCTCCTCAGTGCCCCTTCCTCCTCTCAACATTTCCCATAAGATCGTACACCTGAAGCAGGGGGTGGGCCCAGGTGATACATCGGACGCGGATGTTCTCCAGACCAACCAGGAGAACGCTCGGTCCTCTCGTCAAGCCCGGGAAATCTCTCAGATGCAGGAGCAGGAAGAGGAGACCACATCAGAGGAGGCGTTGGAGGCCTACACTCAGGTTCCCTTTCACGCAACGGAACCTGCTGCCACTGAGGCAGACGTTCTCCTGAAGGAAAACCAGACCATGGAGGCAGACTCTCAGAGCGACTGGTCTAATCCGACCACATCTCCAAGTAACGCGGAGGACGAGGAGTTTGTCAACACTGTTGTGCCTGAGTACGAAGACTCCAACGAGCCCGGGTCGGCCATGAACCTCCCAGAAGAGGCTGCTATCCTGCCCACCAAGTTGCCACCGATCCTGCTAGAGCTGCGATGGTTGCCGCCCAGACCCCCCACCAGCTACGATGGCTTCAACATCTACATCTACAGAGACGGTAATAAAGAGTCATAGTCAGGATTTCTAAATTGAATTCTAACGTTTACAGTATACATGAAAGAGAAATCAAAATGAGAACACTCTTCATTGATTTCTAGGAAACTCCACAGAGACGGCAACCGTGGATGAAAACACTCACGAGTTTTTCACAGAGCTCACTGATCCAGGAACGTACCACGTCCATGTGACCACGCTGAGCTCAGCCGGCGAGTGTGAGGCGAGAGAGAGCAGCGCAGACACAGGATTTACCTTTTACCTCAGTACGAGAAACCGAAAAACATCCCATCACCGTCGATCAGATAAGAAATAAATGCTTATTGATCAGCGCGCTGCTTTAGCTTTAATGGAACCTCTGAGTGGTCTCAAAGTAATCTGGTTTCAGGTCCTGATGGTGAGCTGATGGAGGAGCTGAGAGAACGTCCTCAGGGTGTCAGCGTCCGTCTTAAAGACTCCAGTACCGCTGCCGTGTCCTGGAGCCCGTCTTCTGAGAACCACAACGGGAGCCTGGTCTCCGTCATTTCTACCACCTGTCTGAGACCCAGCGTGAGACAGAGGATGGAGATCACCTACTGCAGTGAGGTGGGTCTGTTAGAAACTCTCTGAAAGATTGATCAGTGATGTAGGGGGCGATTTGGGGATTTGCACATATAGATAACCTGAACATCTAGGTTTTTTGGCCAATGAAAAGAACAAAACATTTCCGACCATCCTTTTTTGTAGCCTAATTGTCGATATCGAAAACGTCTCAAACTAATCAGTTTAATTTTATTTAAGTCATTTCAATTTTCCTTACATGTCAAACAAATATTCCAGGAAAACACGACGAGTGAGAGTATTAGTCACCTGACTCCAGGAGCTCAGTACAGGGTCGTGGTCTATCACACTAACGGTCCTCTGATCAGTCCGCCGTCTGAGCCCGTCATCATTGACATCGGTGAATATTCCGCTTTATCATTTTTTTTCTGCGACCTTGTTGTCCGTGATGCGTGCTAACCTGCGGTGATGTCGCCCATCAGAGCCCACCGGTGTGCGGGACCTCGCCGTTTACCCTCTGAGTCCAACGGCGGTGATTCTGAGCTGGCAGCGTCCGTATCACGTGGCCTTCAGGATGTACGTCCTGCAGACCTTCTTTTTCAACCCCGTCACGTTGACATCAGAGTGGACGACCTACTACGAGATCGCAGCTACGGCCTCCATCATTGCATCAGTGGTAATGCAGCTTTGATTTAAATCTTGACAGGAAAAAATAAACAGCTGTAAAGATAAGAGAGAAAGTAATCAAGGTGACAAACGATGAACAGAAATACAGAGAAAACAGAAAGAAAAAGAGCCAAGAAGTGAGACAGAAAGTGTCCCAAAAGAGAAAGGAATTGGCATAAAGAAAAGGGTAGAGTAAGGACAACAACCACAAAGATACAAAGAGGCAGGAAGGAACCTCAGACAGAAAGAAAACAAAAGTCGTGAGAAACAGGAAGCAACTACAAAGTGACAGGAAACAACCACTAGAAGACAGAAAATAATCACATAAAGACGGAAAATAACCACAAATACACAGGAAACAGCCGCAAAGAGACAGGAAACAACTACAGATTGACAGGAAACAACTCCAAAGAGACAGGAAACCAATCCCCAAAGACAGGAAACATACACAGGAAGACAGAAAATAATCACATAAAGACAGGCAATAACCGCAAAATGACAGGAAACAACTACAAAATGACAGGAAACAACTACAAATTGACAGGAAACAACTACAAATTGACAGGAAACAATTACAAATTGAGAGGAAACAACTACAGATTGACAGGAAACAACTCCAAAGAGACAGTAGAAAACCACCAAGAGACAGAAAACAAACACACATTGAGAGGAACGACCAGAGAAAAGGAAATGCATTTCTCAAACGTGTCTCTGCAGTGTTGTGTATCTTTGTCTGTCCTCTCTCAGAGAATGACCGACCTGCTTCCAGCCTGGTATTACAACTTCCGTGTTACCATGTTGACGTGGGGAGACCCTCCTCTCAGCTGCTGCGACAGCTCCACCGTGAGCTTCGTCACAGGTGAACACAGACAGATAAGAACGCCCTGGTGTGATCCCAGGTGTCCACCACGGTGAAGATCGTAAACACTGGTTTTGTTTGCATTTGTTCGTCAGCTCCCGAGGCTCCTCACATCACCTCCGTGGACTACTCTCAGGGCCTCCTCTATGTTCACTGGACATACGGTGAGCTCTTCATCGACCTGTCACACTCCAGGATAATGCACTGGCAGGTGGTGGCCGTGGGGAAGAAAGGAGCAGAGAGGAGCTACTCTGTGGACGTGAGGCCCATTCATCTGGTCACAAACTCATTCAGAACTGCAGCAGCCTCTTACTCTCTGTTTGTTGTCATCCGTCAGGTGACCAGGAAAGCCATGCGGGCGGGTCTCCTTCTCCCTCCGGGTGATATTTATAACCTGACTGTGACGGCGTTTACGGAACGCAGCAAGAATACGTCCACACCAAACATCATCAAACTTGGTAACACTGTGTAGTGTGTGTGTGTGTCTGTGTGTGTTTGTGTTAAGTGACGATGTAGTTTAGTTCTAATTCCCTGATAACTGACCGGAAGCTTTGTTGACGTGTTAGCTTGGCTTTAAAGTGTTTTTAGCAACAATTACGCTGACTTGAGAAACATGTTATATGGAGTTCTAGTTATCTGGGTTAGGGGTCACGAGGATTTGATTTAGTTTCATAAAGTATTGGTCAGGTGTTTGCTGCTAGTTAGCATTGCTGTCAAAGTGCAAAGATCATCATTTGTAAAATAATTTTTGGTCCTCACTGAGTGAAGAATATTGTTTTCCTCATTAGAGCAGCTCTGCCACAGTCTTCAAACCACTGAGTTCTTCATTTCAGATCCAGCTCCACCCAGATCTCTGTTTGCTGTCAACACAACCTACTCATCTGTGACTCTGCTGTGGAGCGAGGAGGGTGTGGTCGACTACTACCAGGTGGTGTGTCGGTCGAGC